TTCCTGGTTGGTTGGTTCTGTGTGTAACTGATACACTATTTGCTTGTTTTTGGAAACCTTTTGATAGCTGTGTAGACTTTTGAATTGTATTTTAGGCGTAGGTTAGAAAGAAGAAAAAATTACATTTATGACAATGAGGATAACTGAAATTAGGTGAATGATGATAAAACTTCCTAGCTAGCATTTAAAATGATTAATGATAATTGAAATCAGGTGAATGGTCATAATGTTTTTGAAATAGATATTACTAAGAAGAGAAAGATCTAGCATTCATGTTGACAACAAAAGAAAAAGAGAAAACGAAAAATTTCTCGTTATTATATTATATATATGTCGCGTTACAAAGTTTATAGATATGAATCTATATGTTTGTATGATATATATTTCATATTTTAAAAACTGTTTGTTTCTTTATCTTTGCCTGCTAAAAAAAGACTAAAACGTGATTTAATTAATATGTTTTATTTATCGTGACAAAATTTACTATTATCCTTTTCGGGTGATAGTAATTTTATTGTCATCTATTATAATTTCTATAAGTTTAGTGAATTATTATTCCATTCTACTGAAATAGTAAAGAAATGAAAGTTCCATAAAAATGGTTAGAATAGATTTTATATTATATCGTAAAAAATAAGTGAAATGATAATATTCATCTACCATATATATAATGTTCATCGATATTTTACTTATTGTCCTTTTATATATACCATTTAGAACCTTGATTCTTATCTTTATATCATTCTTAAAATCCTTACTTTCTTTACAGTTGAATTTTATTTATCATGTAATACAGGTACAATATGGATTTTGACCAAAATAATTCTGAAATTTTAGTTTATTATCCACAAATATATCCATAAAGTATTTCTTCAAATAATTTTTGCAGTCAAAAAGAAAAATTTCTATAATGGATTTAACCTTTTTCAGAATCTAACTATATATACAAGATTTCCAATATTTATTTTGCATTTTCAAAGCATGGAAAATAATTTAGTATGCAATCCTCTATATATTAATAGAGGAGACACTAGGTAAAAATCATAGGTGTCATTCAAAGAGGATTTTAAGAAATTTTTAATGAAAACTATTAAAACTTCTTAATGACATTATTGTGTAAATAATTATACTAAATTTGTATCATATATACAATATATAACTATTAAACAAATATGGAAACAAGAAATATGTGATAATTAGTATGGAAAATTTTATTTAAAGAATATAAAGTATATGTGAGAATATTTTTTTTTCAATGATTATTAGATTTTTTTGACATGCGTTAGAATATTCAAAAAAAAATTCATGATATTTTTAATATACGAAAAAATTAAAAATAACAAAGATATATCTCCAGTATAGATAAATATATTGATAAATATATTTTATCTTACAAAATTTAATTTGCATGATATTTAGATAAAATGTAGAAATTTTTTTAGAAATGCCACTTTTCAAAAATGTCATCAATTTGAAATTTTCTTTAAAATGCCACTAATCCTCTATATATTAATTGAATAGACAATTGGTGAAAAAATCATATGTATCATTCAATGAGGGTTTTAAGGAATATGTCATTTAAATAACTAATTAACACATTTTAATTAAAACTATATGCTATGGTGGAAATCTCTATATGTTTTTATTAATTTTATAATATAAAACCCATTAATATATATTTTACAGAATTTAAAATTTAACTAAATGTAATATTTAACGTTACTATATCATCTATTTTTCTTTAAAAAATTGATATATTAAAAACCTTTTTATTATTATATTTCTAACAATATTATTTATTTGTAGATGATAACTACACTTATAAATATATTTACATTTTATTATTAGAAAATATATATTTTTTGTTTGTTACGTCAGAAAAATTTATATAAATCTAAAATTTATTTAATTTATCGCATACTCTACAATTTTACACAAATAATAAAACTCAATTTGACACTTCAAATAAATTGAAACAAATAACGTTTGCATTAGTTTTAATATTTTTATACAAAATTGATCAAAGCATATGACATTGAAATATGTTTAGTAAAAATTTAATTTTATTACATTTATGCATAATACATATCATTTTATACGTTTAGAAATATTAGAATACACGTCTAAATATTAAGATCGATTAAAAAATATATTTAAATATTTAATCTCACGTTTGGCGTGGATCAAAATCTAGTTAACTATTAGTCTCGAGACAGGCTCAAATTCAAATATCTCATTCGC